AAACTGCATTAGTTGAACCCTATTCTGGAACTATTATTTTTATAGAGGACTTTTTGTAATGACGTCTTTATCTTTTTCCAGACACAAATTTCACCTGGCCAATCATGGTCAGATAAAAATTTACAGTTTCCACAAATCATTTCAATTACAATTAACCACAGAAATTAGTGTGTAATAGCACAAATGAGTACAGCAGTCAACATTCACTTATTTACATAGACTTTCGACTGTCTGCTTTGTGGCAACAGCATAATCTTCAGATAACTTCATTGCCTATCGACAGACACAGCAGTTTTAATTTTCATATTTAAACAAAATGTGCATAGATTATTGGTATTGATCGGGCACCATTGCTGAACAGTTCAGAGTCTCAACCTTGCAATTTAGAATAAGTTAAATCTGTATAATTAGCTGTGATGTTACAGCATATAATTTCAACATGTAATTCGTTTGAAATTACATTTTTTGGTACATCATTAATTAGAAATCACTTGCAGAAAACATAAAAGGGCATTGATGTTAACTTTAATACATTTCTTACATAAAATGTATTCTTTATACATGTTCTAGGTCTCCGACACAGTGGTGGAACCATACAATGCTACCTTATCAGTCCATCAGCTAGTTGAAAATACAGATGAAACATACTGCATCGACAATGAAGCTCTCTATGACATTTGTTTCCGTACTTTGAAACTCTCTAACCCATCTTATGGAGACCTGAACCATCTAGTTTCCCTCACAATGTCTGGCGTCACCACTTGCCTCAGGTTCCCAGGTCAGCTAAATGCTGATCTCCGTAAACTCGCCGTCAACATGGTTCCATTCCCACGACTCCACTTCTTCATGCCAGGTTTTGCTCCTCTGACTTCTCGTGGTAGCCAACAGTACCGAGCCCTCACAGTACCAGAACTCACCCAACAGATGTTTGATGCCAAGAATATGATGGCTGCCTGTGACCCAAGGCATGGCCGTTACCTCACGGTTGCCGCTATTTTCAGGTAAAACATCCTTGAGTGCTCTTGCAGTAAAATATTGTCAAATAATCTTTGGTTTATGGTTAATATTAAACTGGAGGGAGACTTCAGAAAGAAGAGAAAGCTGAAATTGAAATAAAATATGTCTAATGTAGCATACTTTGGTTTATCTGGAGTAACAATACCCCTCTCAAGAAATTCTGCAAACAGAAGTAAAATGAAGAAATTGTGGTAAACTAAGTTTGCCTTCAGTTTAGGTGTTGTACTAGAATATTGTACATTTTGAGAAACTCGCTCACTTATTCTCTTCAGGGGTCGAATGTCTATGAAGGAAGTTGACGAGCAAATGCTGAGTGTGCAGAATAAGAACAGCAGCTACTTTGTGGAATGGATTCCTAACAATGTTAAGACGGCTGTTTGTGATATACCTCCAAAGGGACTGAAGATGTCTTCCACATTTATTGGCAACACAACAGCAATTCAAGAATTGTTCAAGCGCATTTCTGAACAGTTTGCAGCCATGTTCAGGCGTAAGGCTTTCTTACATTGGTACACAGGGGAAGGCATGGATGAGCTGGAGTTCACAGAGGCTGAGTCTAATATGAATGACTTGGTGTCTGAGTACCAGCAGTACCAGGTAATTGTCAAATTATAAAACAGACTTTTCATTGAAAACCCGAACAACAGCTTGGTTAAAAACAAATTTTATTTAGCTGACAAAATTCCCATATAATGGCTATCAAGCCATAATTTAGATGTATTAAAATCTATCACAAGTATAAAATGAATAAACACAAAGAAAATGAATGAACTTCTATGAGTATGCCAGTGAATAATAAAAAAGCATACCCAATAAAAGTAGCTTTTAACTTAATTGACAGATTTTGTTTCTGAAAGAAATTTTCTGACATGTGTTGTAGCATTTGTAATTATTTCTGTAATGCCATGTTTTTCTTGAAAATTGTTCATTCTTAAAAAAATTTTGATTTCAATTTACAGGAAGCAACTGCCGAAGATGACTATGGAGATGATGGAGATCAAGGAGTTGGTGGAGAAATGGCAGAAGAAGAATATGTTGATTATGAACAAGGCGAGACATGATCAAATTTTTATGGGGATCAATGATGTGATTCTTGGAGTTTTTGCTTTCCAGTCATAAATTTCTCTGCATTTTTATTACTCATTTTTATGTACCAGATAATTCTTGCAGTGGTCAAGGGATTTTGTTTTGAAAGTTTTGCAATTATTATTTAATCAAAAAATCAGACTGATTTTGTCACTAGTTAAGTTTCATTGTAATGTTACTATTAATATTCAAGAATTGCATTTCAAATTTATCGATAACAAAGTTCTGCATTTGAAAAATGCAACTGCGAAAGGTAATATATTTTGAATTATACAAAATGTTTTATGTTTAGAACATAACCACTAAGTGAACACTTCTTCTCTTTAGTTATGTCATAACTATTGCATTTTGTTCAAGTATGTTTCTTGAATGAGAGATGGAAAATTGCTAAGTGAGTCCATTTTTAAGTAAAAGCTACTCGTTTTGTTCTGGGGTTTCGTAGTTTTCTCTTTCAGTGAGCAAACTCACTTATCCCTATTTGTTGTGTAGAGAAGGAACATTTTTAATATCGTCATGAAATGTGGGCTTCAGATGTATTTCAGATTACTTATTTTTGTTCTGTAAATTTGTTGTCTGTCATGGACTGAACAAGTGCCTATAGCTAATAAGAATAATAATAGTTTGTGTAATGTTTATATCTTTTGGAATATGAAACTTGATACCATTAAGATAGTTATATATTTCAAATGTATTGTATTGTATTTAGTATCTAAGAATATAATATTTGAAAGGCAATTCTGAAATTTTGTTATTGCATCCTCTGAATTTATAAAAGTACATAGTATCTAATTCAAATATAAATTTAATAATTTAATTTACATAAATTCTTTTTTGAAATAAAACAAAATGATACTACTTCATTACTGTACTTATATGTTTGTGTATTCTTTCATATCTAGTTTCCTACATTTGCTTAACAAATGTAAATAAAAAATGGAGTTTCTTTATTTATGTCATAGTAATATTCCTTGTTTCTTAAACTTGAAACAGACTGTATACAAATAAAAAATATAATTTATTTATTGAAAAGTAGTCCATTATTAACTAATTGTTAATCATTCTCTTGATAAGGTACAACTTAATATGCATTTCAATGTGGTTAATTTGAAATTGGCTTAATTTTTACGTTGAAGTAGTAACTTCAGTAATCTTTTGATTATTAATTTCCAATAAATAGTTTTTTATAGTTGTTAGTTCATTGAGAAGTGTTGCAGTAACCTGGAAATCCATTTGACATAACTTTTGCCAAACGAGGCTTTGGAACAGAGATGTCTGCCAACGAAATAAAAGTTAACTGTGTGTATAAAATTAAAACAGCAAAGAATGACAGTATATGATGTTAAATGTAGGTGACTGAACTGTTTATAGGCTAATTATGAAGAAACACACTGAAACATCTTCCACTTCAAACTCTACTTTATGTAATATTCTGCATGCCCAAGAATTTGGCCACTTGTTATAAATCTATAATTGACCATGATTATTTTGGAATTGTGCTTTACACAGTCATAAACAGCATTATATATACGTTTGTGCGTTATATATGATTTGAAGCTTTGGCGACGTAACTCAATAAAATCATCTCAAGTGATCAGCTGCATCAATTGGTTGAAAGAAGAAACCGACGTGTCTGATCGCCCGAGAAGATTTTATTTATGCGTTTTATATATATATATATGTAATATATATAAATTGTCCAAAAATCACACTGTTTCGTCTGGCCAGTCGTGTGTGTGTGTGTGTGTGTGTGCGCGCGCGCGCGCGTGTGCGTGATATTGAAAACCAAACTATAGTAGTCCAGTTATTAAAATTGTTTTATTCATTTCGACATTCATAGCTTGTGCAGCAGAGTTCTACAGCAAGCAAGCAGTCTTCGTACTTCCCGCCGTGAGAACCTCAAATCATAGTTTTTCGTTTTTTTCTTTCTTGCATACACTGAATGAAAGTAAAATGCAGTTATACGAGAATAAACTTGTTAAAAATTTGATCAGCAGACAGCCAGTAATTGTGCTTTCGTGTTTAAAACAACGACAGATTCCTTAAAAATTACCAGTTATTTCAGTTATTTAGGAAATAATTTACATGTACTATACAATCGATTTTTAAGAATACTGAGCATGTGTAATCGGTCTAGAACTAACGAAAATCAATTTCGTTGCTATGACGATCTTATGTTTACACATACCTGCTATTCAACCTAAAACATTTTAATCATAATGGGGAAGAACTGCGGCGAACATAGAGATACATGGGTACAGCAGGCAAACACATGACTTGTTAGTTACTTTGCTAACAATATGCAGTTTATCATAAAACTGGAACATCTGTTTTACGGTAGTTGTTATTCGATTTATTTTTTATTATCGACACTGGACTATTGAAAATGGCAGAGTTGCTGAACACGCTATTCTGAAAAGTGCAATGCATTGTTTATATGAATATGTAACAGTTGGTAATCTTTTGTTTATTCAGGTGCTTGTATTCTGCTTTTCCAAGTTTTAAAGACGAAAGGAATATGGGAATACAACACTAATCTGGTAAGTGATTCAGTCTACCCATTGATAACAATGAGATATAAATATAATACCAATGTATTTCATTAATGACAGAGTAATGTTGTCATTTTTGAGGTAAGACATTCTATTTAGTTACACAGTTCTCACTGCCTACTTCATTTTACATTAATCTGCCCCCCTGAGAAACAATTGTGCATGCCATCTTCAGATTTGGCACCGTGGAAACCTCAAATCTTACACTGTAACCTAACCTGAATTGGCTAATGCATATAGAGAGAATGGAAGCCAATATAATTCCACAAAAAATGTATAAATATAAACCTAAAGGCAAACGAGGTAAAGGCCGCCAACAAAAAAGTTGGAACGACCAATTTTAACTGCAGAGTACTGTATCCTATTTACTCAAAACAGAAAATTCCTTGGAGACAGAACAGTCCATAATAGGCTAAACCATGGAGATGATGATGAATTAAAATACTTTAGAAGAGGCATAGAAAATCTGCAACAGTTGTTGTTCTTTAACGTTAGACTATATAGTTTTCATTTCATTTTGCAGAGAAGAAATGAAACGGCTCCCTGTGGCGGTTCGGGATCATTTATCAATTTGTGAGTCTGCATTAGAGGTCCACACAGCAAAACATATATGTAGCAACATTCAGGAAACACATATTTTTATTTGTTGTCTATATGTTATACCTTACACATATGTATTATGTTATATTTGTCTCAGTTTTGTATTATTTCCTATTTAATATAATTTAATGGCATTATTGTATTTATTACATACCTTTCTTTCATTTTGAGTTATGTGCTTTTTACAATCTAGTAATAATGTGATCAGTATTTTCAGAACAATAAAATTAAGGAAAATATTTTGAAGAAGAATGTATATTAAATCACATTTAGGAAACATTTTGAACTCTCTTTCATAAAATGAAGCATGTTATTTTCTTTCATAGAAATGAGCTAATTAGATTTTTACTGAGAGATTATTATTAAGTAATTTGTGTGAAGAAATACAACCATATCTGTTATCAAGTGAACTCCAGCTATCCTGTGTATGTTAGAGAAATAACAAGTTTGATTATTATTATTATTTTGCATTTGACAAAGAAATGAATAGCCAATGCGGTCAGTGGTAATGAAGAGGTTGACAACCCTTATTCTAGCGGCAATTCAGAATATGAGAGAAGTGGAAATTAAGGCTACCTTGCTTTAAAGATTCATATGAATAACATTTTGTAAATTATGTTTCAATAGTTAAATGTAACAGTTAAGTATTTCCTGACTGGTCTATAACCATGCTGCCACTTCCTGTCCTTTATTAATGATGTCAGAGAAAACTATAGTTTTTCTCCAATTATTTGTATCTTCCCTCAATCTCTACCATGATTGAAATGATAGTACTGGGGATACTGGGAACGACCTGTTCTTCAAGTGCCTGAGCACTGCGGGTCCCAACTTTTCGTTGGCTTGATCTATAGACATTTGGTAGGACTCCTTGGATGAGGGATTGGCCCATCACAAGGCCTCTACCTGTACACAGGATAGCACAACACAGAAAAACGCGGACAAACATCCATGGCTTGAGTGGGATTTAAACCACTGTCCCAGTGACCAAGCGGCACAAGGCCCACGCCTCAGACCGCGCTGCCATTGCGGACCTGAAATGACAGTATGTGGTGTTTTGTTTCATATTCAACATGTTTCTAGGTGCGGCCTGTGTGTGGGAGGGGAAACAGGCAGATTGGATACTGAAGGACTGGACAGCTGCAAAGTGTGTGGTGGAGATGACAACTGTGTTGGCTGTGATAATGTGGTGGGAAGTAACAAGATATCCGATGCTTGTGGGGCTTGTTTGGGGCTTGATGATGACTTACGTGACAGTAAGTTTCTGGAAACTGATGAGAATGTAACTTTATGGTATAGGATATTTCTTTATCTTTGTACTCACTGCTGTGAGAGCATCAAATCCTAAAAAGTTAACTGTTTGTGTGGAACTTGAAGGTTCATTAACCACACAAATTTAGATCTGTTCATCCTATTTCTTGAAGATATATTTTAATATTACCTTCATGTTCTGCAGTTAGACATCTCAAACAGATAAGAATATTGATAAATGTGCCAGATCAGTTTTTAAGAAAACAAGCATTTAAACCGAGTCCTGGATGCTTTCCACAGCACATTAAATTTTATCATAGAGGAATAGGGGTTTAACCCTCATGGCTGCCAGTAAGACTTTAACTACAAGGTTTTAGCAGTTTAATGATACGTTACTGCAATGCATGGTACGCTGCCCTATGTGGAAACAGTGACATATATTTGATAAAGGTTAAAAATTAAAATATGTACTGATGGATAGTTTGATCCTTTAGCTTTAAAATTATGAGTGTATTTATTTCTAAACGACTGCACTAATTCAATCAGTACCAGAGAATTATACAATTGTTCTGGGCAAAACAGGATTATACTATTATATCAGAATCATGATGAATGTGACTGAAATAAAAAATAAAGATATTTGTTATGGTAAATGGGTTGGAAACAGGTTGATGTGATTATTGGCACATCCTGCACAATATTAAGCAGATTTAAACAGAACTATGTAAAATATATTTTCAACAGGGTGTACAAGAATCACATCTGTATATCCGATGACATTGGACAAGGCCGTGGAGAAATTAGCAACAGTCAACCTGAGAGGAGCAGGAATCAACCCTGGTAATCTTCCTGACTTAAGCTGCAGTTTGGAACCGACAAATCGACAGCAACAAGGATACCAGGTAACCTTAATGTAGATGATTATGTTATAATAAGAGGAATAGGAAACAAACTCACTTATTCTTTTATGAAATACTGGGGGACACATTGAATTTTGAAAGTATGTCTGTGAATTCTTATACCATTTTAACAATTTTGCATTATAATCTACCCAAACTAAACAGACTTGCCACATGAAGTATGGTCACAACCACTTAGGAATTATATGTGAAATGGTGAGGACAATTTGTGCCAAACAGATAGTTACCAGCAGTGGTTGCTTGTGAATTGTTTTCATGGCCATCTATATCTCAAATTCTTTTCATATATCCATATCGTTGCAGCATTTTGTAGGATTTGAGGTCCTCACTCATTGGTTTGATGATGGAGGTGGCAAGGACCTTTGGAACGTTGGTAAACTTCTACCAGACCATACAGTGCTACAACACAGAAGACAGCTATTTTCATTGCAGCATTTTATTTTCTACCCCACTTAATGGTACCTGCACCTTGTCCTGGTGGTGGGGCTTGAGTACCTCGGTGGCGGTACCATAGCTACTGGTAGGACCTCCCTAGTCAGATTGGTCAAGGGGGAGAGGTCAGACTAAGACAGGTACCCTGGTCCTGCAGGTTGGGGGTTGGTCGCAAGGCTAACAACCTTGCATCATAAAAAGGAAGATGTTTTGGAACCTTAATCAAAGCCTCGAACAGACGGATCTAACAGAGGACCAAATGGAAGAGGAGAATTGAGGAGGCCATGGACCGAACATGGACCGGAGAGCCAGAGAAGAAGAAGAATTTTATTTTCTGTCCACTGCAGAATGTTCTCATGTATAACAAATAGTGATAAATAAATTACCCATTTGTAACTTAGTGACACCTGTCAGTCTGATTTGTGTTATTCTAGTAATGTGTGAAGAACAGCCATGATTCTCTATTATCTCTGTTGTAGGCACAGCAGGTAGAAAAGATGAGTGTTGAAGATGGTGTGATCCAGTTGGAGATAATCCTCACAGAAAAGCTTGATGGGTTTTATACAATTAACTGTAGCTCCAATACAGTAGGACCTGTAGCTTCAGGGAAACAAGTGACTCTCTTGATAGTTGACAGCAAACAACTCTGTGTTACAGAATACAAACCCAACAATGTTACTGTTGGCAGAGAGTTTCAGGTATGTGTGCTGTTGTGTAACTCTTTCAGTGCTGGTCTGAAAAAGCAATGAGGTCCGCATAGTCGTAGGCAATAATATTTTAAAATTTGTGAAGTACAGTTGGCTCACATTATTTTCATTAAGCACAATTTTAAATAGCCTTGATTGTATGTTAATATCACTATTCCGGTCCCTCTGGAAGCTTCAATATATGCCCAAGGAGTTGCACGCACAGATTTTCTGGCTTACTCTGTCATTTAATTCCTTTCTCCCTTAATGACAGCACTCTTTTATTAATAAATGACTTTCTTTTCCATCAAAAATAAGTCTGGAAGGAGAAAATGAAGTGAATTTAAGAATTAAAATAAAAATATGAATAAAAATTTAGTGTGAAGAAGAGATGTAGTAATCCCATGCTTCTGAGGTAAAGTTGGAAGTGCTGCTGTTTCTCCTATAATTCACTAATTACATTCCAGGAAAACAGCTTGTTATAAAAAATACTGAGTGTTAGAGTGTGAGCATAGGCTTTTGGAATAGAGTGATTATGCAGTGAGTATTATATGTGACAGGTATTTTGTAAGACTGATCAGTCAACTATGAGTCTGTGTTACTAAAGTCGATATAGAATGTGAGCAGTAAGCTAGAGTAACAGTAACACTTTGAAATCTGAACACCCTTGCCCCCCCTCCATTAAAATTGTATAAATTTTCATGTAGAGAAATTGCCACATATAATGTCTGTCATTATGCCTACGTTCCTGAACACCTTCTGAAATGTATTGCGTATCTCAGAAGTTTTATGAATGGCATTTTAGACATTGGGCTATTTTTTATTTTGCATTGTTTGGTCCACAGATGGAACTGACAATACCAACAATTGTTCAGAACAGCAATGTATTGTGCTATGTGCAAAGAAAAGGACAACAAACTGCAGAAGTTGTGCAGGCTGCAGAGGTGGTAACGGGACGTGTCAAGTGCAGACCCTACGCGGCCCAGAGAGCGAGTCGCATGGAGTGGGGAGCTGCATATACCTGGGATGCAGCCATTGACAGGTATATCTGATAGAATTAGTGATATAAACCCTTATAACTTCTGGATGCATGATTACTGATATAATGGCATTTTCAGTAAACATGCTCATTTGGGATCCACAATTTAAGATTGAAAAATGTAATGTGTTGGTAAATGGTTATTAGTTTCACCTGAGTTATCCACAAAAGAAAGGAAGACCGTAAATTGTGTGGCCTAAATCAGGTACTTGTATGTGCTGATGACTGAATTATTAAGTGAAAATAGAATAGCTTCCTTACAAGTCACTTAATTATGAAGATTTCTGTCTTCTGGGTTGTTGCGCTGTGTAGTATGGTCGATGTTTACCAACGTTTCTAAGGTCATACTGCCTCCGTCACTTGATTATATTTGTCTTAAAATAAATGTGAATAAAGAATTAATGTAGTAATAACAATAAATATATTTTTTAAGCTCAAACATTAAAAGAACTGGGAAGAACAATGTGGATACAAAATAAGTTATCTGTGTAATGACAAATAAATTAAAATAGTGCTTCTTCTTATTGAGTTCAGATCTTGATACCATCATATCTGAATAGGGCTGGAGACTCTGAAAAGTGAATTTTAATTGTAGTTAGGTTTTATCAGAACTGGAAAACTGTGGTGTTTCATGCATCTTAGCTTTTTTAACAGTAATCATAAATTTACTGAAAATAATGAATGTTGTATTAATTATGGAATGTTAGAATGTAATAAAAATAATAACAAGAAACCCAGGTTGCGTGGAGACCTAAAATTTAAAGTGATGTTGGAAATACGATGTCAGTGCTGTAAAATTAATTTGTATCCCTTCAGGATTGTATAGTAAAAGAAAATAAAAGTAGCAGTAACAAAATTAAGTTGTGTAAGAGCCTTATAGTGGGAGTAAGGAGATGTACTTCACAGAGGTATAGAATATATTTACTGCACCACATCAAAAAATGTCACAAATAACAGTTAGTAAAGATATTGGATCTGTATTTTATCTCATGCAATTTTTTGTTAAAATTTTTTTTTGTGAAATTGGATAAAATTTGAGCTTCATGAAAAGTACGTATTAAATTAAACCTCTGTGTACGGACAATACAAGTTTACAGGTAGACGAACAGTACAAAATGTCTTCCACATTTATTAAGGGGTTTGGAAAATTAAATATGCAGATAGATATGACGTCCTCAGTCCTCATTCTATGTGAAGAATACATGAAAGTAATTACAGAATAACAAGTTGAATTTTTCATAAGAATTTTTTTAGTATACATAACTAACTAACTAACTAGATGGCTTACAGAACCCAAAGGTTCATCATCGAATTAACCAAAGCCCTTCACCGGTCCCTGTCCTGGTCCTTCAACTCCTGATTTAGTGTACATAGGATTTAATAATTTATAGAGAAAGCTGTCCATCTCCAGTAGAGCTGGTAGCAGTGGCTCCTCCACCTGTCATAAAGATGGCTGAGTTCTATGATGGATTGCAAAAAGTGCGTATTGTATTTGATCATAACGTGGATGGATCTGAAAAGTGTTCTGACATCTTTACTCCAGAGACACTTTCACTGCTTGGAGATGGTGGGTAATGCAGTAATTATGTTGAATTAAAATTTATTATATATTTAATATGTTATTCATACCGTGAATTAACAGAATTAAATGTTCTATGTAATTTTGCATCTTTTCTTGTAGTGTTTTTGAGAGATAATGTAAAACTCTCTAATTACAGTATTGTAATTGCTTGAATTGGTGTTCAAGTATTCTTGTCAAATGGTTAGAGTTCAGGATGCATTTGTTATCGACAAAGCAACCAAACTCCCTTTCATGAGTCTGGCCAAATATGAGGTCAGGACCAAGACTGTGATATGTTATTCACTGGTTGGTCTTGTGATACATGTCAGATTTGATTACTGATCAGTATATGCACACTGATTGATAGGAGAATTCGGAGATACTTGGAGAAACACCAGTTTCGGTGCCACTTTAAAAAAAATGAAAATGGCTGTCTGCTGGTTGTTGCGCCATGTAGTATGGTAGAAGTTTACTAGTTCCAGAGGTCCTTGCTGCCTCCATCATTGCTTTGATGATAAGGGCAGCCTACATGACACAACAACCCAGAAGACAGCCATCTTCAGCCTCACTGCTGTGAAACCTTAAATCCTACAAATAAACAAATAACCATGCAAAACACTTATTGAAACTGAATGCACAAGAACTTAAAAAAACATAGAACTAAATTATTAATATTAAATGCATTGATAAATAATAGCTGTCTGAAGTACTGAGTGTAGAGATAAATGTCACTGAAGAATCATAGTTGTTGTGTAGATTGTAATACATGTTTAGCAGATACTATATTCTTTTTCAGGTGCCAACTGCAGTTTTGTGGCAAACAGTCTCATTGTCACTTTGGGATCAAACCTGAAGATACAGGTTAACTCTGAGTTACAGTTGTTAGATAGCAGCAAGGTATTCAGAGAACAGTCAGATCTATCACTCACTGCTCCTGCATCAGGGAAAGTAACCCTTGCTCCACCGGACCTTGAGGTATGGTTTACAGTAACATTGTGATACATAGTAACAGAATGAAATAGAGTGAGCATTTATTGAGACTCAGTAAAATAGTCAGACATAAATCAATATTGCACTATTTTATTTGTGGGTTTAAGTGTTTAATGTTAGTGAAAACATGGATTGTAATCTTCAGGGTACATTTAAACCATGTTCCTTCAAAATGCTGGCAACCACCCAGAAGACCACAGTCTAAATTAGTTTATGTTGATTAACAGTAGTTAATAGCATAATGGTATTTCAACTGTCTAATATGTCAATATGTTTAACAATTTCCCTGTCAACTATTTTGTAAAACATGAATGAAGTTTACAAGAGGAACCACTGTGATCAAGATTGGAAGGAAAAACTGTTGTAATCAAAGTATTTTGCATGATTATGTTGTTTAGTAATATATATATATATGAATTAAATGCAATACAACAAAAATTAAAGTTTTACCAGACTGAGAAAGTTTACCAGAGTGTGAGATATTACAGGGAATCTGGGAAATTTGAAGAATAGTAAGAAACTTGCATTGCAAAGATAGTTTTTGTGTTTTCTGCTCTTTTGTGATATGTTTACAAGAGCCGATCACCAGTATTTATCTTGAACAAAGACGGCTTATATTTGTATTTCATTTCTGTATGTAGTTTGTAAGTTCTTTATAATCTGTAACAAATGTTTACCAAACACTGTACAATAATAAGTTTCAAACAAAGTAAAACATTAATAATAAAATCTTCAGCCATGTTCTTTAACATCAAATTATGTCATGATCCTATGGTGTGTCACAGTGTCTTCTGCTGTATTTGCATAACTGCAAGGTCATGTGATATGCAACATACAACACAACAATCTTAGCCAAACTGTGATATCTTTTTGTTCATTCCATACTCTCAGATTTGATACCTGCTGCTATCCCATTCAAACTTTATATATAAAATTTCATTGGTATCTTTCATATTAAAAATGGAATGGAGTACCAGTTTAGAAGATATACAAGGATTTATTTTTCCTTAGTTTCACAGTGATAATTGAAAGTGTGTGGATTATGTAATAAAATATTAATTGTATGTTTTAAAAATTGTCTATTAATTTTTCATTGCTGTACCAGATTAGTACTCCTCAGATCAAAGTGGATGCACCAAAGTTAATCTGTCCTGATGCCCAACAAGGCAGCGCACTGGTGTACAGGCCTGCAGTAGTGAGTTCTTCAACTAGTTCAAGCATGTTCGGACCTCAGGTCATAAGGTAAATTATTGTTCTCATGCCTTAATCAAATTTTATGTTGTATTTTGAAATATCATATTTGTTAGGCACCTATATCCATGTTGCTTGTGTACTCAAATATACAAATCATTTTAAACATAATAGTCATTTATTAGAAACTGGCTTGATGATACGAAAATAATTTTTGACAAATATTTTTGTTATTTGTATTTTTAATTTCAGAATTGTATCATCTGGGGGACAGAAACTTGAATATAACTGGACTGTAGACTTCTCAGCTACACCAAAGGACCAACGACACAACCTGATGGTCTGGCGGAGTGTTAGATTGTTTCAGACTTATCTGAAGAAAGCTTCAGGTTTTCCACAAAGTAACCAGATCTTGATCAACACTACCATGGTTAGAGCCCATAGTCATAAGACTCTGATATCTTCTATAATGCAGTGGTCTGTCTGCCTCTTTCCCAATAAAAGTAATACAAAATAATAAACTGGATATT